TTAAACAAATATATTATTTAAAATGTAAAAAAATGTGAATGTTGGTAAACCTGAACCTGGGAAGATGCGCACAACCTCCTTGATGAAATTACCTTCGTGTCAGAGTCATAACAGTAAAACGACACTGTGTGGTCAACAACTGCTTAAATTGGAGCGATTTTCTCATTTCCTGTTTTGGCCATGGGGCAGGAAATGAAGGGACATCTTCCCAAAGGAGGACTCTGATGGGATGAGGGGACCTCTGATGTGATGGGGACTCTGATGTAATAGGGGACCTCTGACATGATGAGGGACTCTAGTGTAGTAGGAGGTCCTCTGAGGTGATGGAGAGACCTCTGGTTTGATGGGAGGACGTCTCATGAGATGGGGGCTATGATGTGATGGGGGGGACCTCTGATGTGATGGGAGGACCTCTGATGGGATGGGAGGACCTCTGATAGGATTGGAAAACCTCTGATGGGATGGGAGGACCTCTGATAGGATTGGAGAACCTGTGATGTGATGTGGGGACTCCGATGTGAAGGGGGACCTCTGATGTGATGAGGAGACCTCTGATATCAATAGAGGATCTCTGATGTGATGGGAGGAACTCTGATGTGATGGAGGAACTCTGATGGGATGAATGGACCTCTGATGTAATGAGAGAACCTTTGATGTGATATAGACCTCTTATTTCATGAAAGGACCTCTTGTGATATAGGCTCTGATGTGATGGGAGGGCCTCTGATGGGATGAGGGGACCTCTGAAGTGATGGGAGGCCCTTTGATGGGATTGGGGGACCTCTGATGTGATGGGGGGGACTCTGCTGTGATGGGGGGACTCTGCTGTGATGGGGGGACTCCGATGTGAAGGGGGGACCTCTGATTTGATGAGGGGACCTCTGATGGGATGGGAGGATCTCTGATGTGATGGCAGAAACTCTGATGGGAAGAATGGACCTCTGATGTGATGAGAGAACCTTTTATGTGATAATGACCTCTGAGTTCATGAAAGGACCTTTTGTGATACGGGCTCTGTTGTGATGTGGGAACCTCTGATGTGATGGGAGGACCTCTGATGGGATTGGGGGACCTCTGATGTGATGGAGGAACTCCAAAGTGAAGGAGGGACCTCTGTTGTAATGGGGGGACCTCTGATGGGATGGGAGGACCTCGGATGTTAAGTTGGGACTCTGATGTGAAGTTAATTTCATCAAGAAGGTTGTGTGCATCTTCCCAGGTTTAAGTTGACCAACATTCACTTTTTTACCTGGGGAGCCTCAAGATTTTGCATCCTTTTAACCACCTCCCGCCCACCATATAGTAGTATGACGACACAAGGCGGTTCTCTCGTTCTGGGAGGACATCATATGACGTCCTCCCATTCTCACTGTGCATGCACGGCTCAGCGAGCGTGCAGTGCGGCGATCGGCGGTGTGCTGTGTCCCTCGGACACAGTGGATCATCGATCACGGAAAGAGCGGAAGATGTCGGCTCGGTCATGTGATCAGCTGTGTCCAATCACAGTCGATTACATGTAAACAGGGAAATGCCGGTTGTCGGCATTTCTCTCCTCTCGAGCTGTCACGCTGACAGAGGAGAGCCGGTAATCAGTTTTCCGCAGAGGGGACATGTACACTGATCATCAGTGTGGCCCCAGCAGTGCCACCTGTCAGTGTCCATCAGTGCCTTATGTCAGTGCCTCGTGACAGTGCCCAGCAGTGCCACATCAATGCCACATATCAGTGCCCACCAGTGCACATCAATGCCACATATCAGTGCCCATCTGAGCTGCCTTTCAGTGTCACCCATCAGTGCCAGTCAGTGCCACCTATCAATGCCAATCAGTGCTGCCAGTCAGTGCCACCTATCAGTGCCAGTCAGTGCCGCCTATCAGTGCCAGTCAGTGCCGTCTATCAGTGCCAGTCAGTGCCGTCTATCAGTGCCAGTCAGTGCCGCCTATCAGTGCTGCCTATCAGTGCCATGTATCAGTGCTGCCTTTCAGTGCCCATCAGTGATGCCTGTCAATGACCATCAGTGCCACCTACCAGTGCCTCCTCATCAGGGCCCATCAGTGCCACCTATCAGTGTCCATCAGTGCAGCCTATCAGTGCCCATCAGTGCAGCCTCATTAGTGCACATCAGTGAAGGAGAAAAATCACTTATTTACAAAATTTTATAACAAAAACTAAGAAAAAACATTTTTTTTTCTAAATTTTCAGTGGTTTTTGGTTTGTTAAAGAAAAAAGAAAAAACCCTGAGGTGATTAAATACCACCAAAATAAAGATCTATCTGTCACAAAAAATTTCATATGGGTACAGTGTTGCATGACCGCGCAATTGTCATTCAAAGTGCGACAGCGCTGAAAGCTGGAAATTGGCCTGGGCAGGAAGGGGGTATAAGTGCCCTGTAGGTGAGGGGTTAAAGGGTGTCGTGACCAAACACAATATCAGAAACACTATTCTATGGCAGTTTATTGCAGGAACAAAAACAGGTACGACCTACAGCTGAATTCACACCTTTATATTTTTTCTTGATGCACACCAACGAGAACAATGATGTGTCATGACAGATGTAAATGCACAGTGATGCATGTCAATGTGCCTTATGATGTACATTGACATCCAATACAAAGATGCATTGCAACAGCATGTGACAATGCACACTAATGTATGCGGACCCGTGTTGACAATGCACACTAATGTATGCGGACCCGTGTTGACAATACACACTAATGTTTTCGGACCCCTGTTGACAATGCACACTAATGTATGGGGACCCGTGTTGACAATGCACACTAATGTATGCGGACCCGTGTTGACAATCCACACTAATGTATGCGGACCCACTAATGTGTTGACAATGCACACTAATGTATGCGGACCCGTGTTGACAATTCACACTAATGTATGCGGAGCCGTGTTGACAATGCACACTAATGTATGCGGACCCGTGTTGACAATGCACACTAATGTAATGCGGACCCGTGTTGACAATGCACACTAATGTATGTGGACCCGTGTTGACAATGCACCACCAATGTATGTGAGACCCCGTGTTGACAATGCACGCTAATGTATGTGGACCCGTGTTGACAATGCACGCTAATGTATGAGGACCCGTGTTGACAATGCACGCTAATGTATGAGGACCCGTGTTGACAATGCACGCTAATGTATGCGGAACCCGTGTTGACAATGCACGCTAATGTATGCGGACCCGTGTTGACAATGCACACCAATGTATGCGGACCCGTGTTGACAATGCACACTAATGTATGTGGACCCGTGTTGACAAGCATTTTGCTGCTTCACCTTCAATACAAAGTGCACTGGAGAAAAGAGGCGTAAGTCATCTTCTTGTAGGTCTTGGATGTTCCACCAGAGAGATATCCTGGCCACAACTCCTGACTGTGCTCCTGTCCACCTGGCAGTTTCCTCATCCACCTTTGTGTGTCCCAGCTTCTCCTGTTACAATCTCTATAAGAAATAAAAACCCAGCAGGGATGGTGGGAGCCCTCCATAATGGTTACAGCAGGTGTGCAGACCCAGGAACCCTTAGCACAGGGGTCTCACCTATACAGAGCCTGAGAAGAAACTCCTTGTGGTTTGAAGTAGATGTCAACCCTAACTGAATGACATTTACTTTACAAAAGCACTCTGTATCATAAACAATCATCATTCGTTTTGTTGTTTTTTTTAGTTTTTTAGTTTGTTTTTTTTACCAAAATAGTTTATACCTTCTTTTAACCCTTCGTTGCACCTCAGTACGGCTGATCTTCTGAAGCCCTTTGCAGTCACTTCCTGTCTACATACATGACTAGAGCACCAGAGATAGGTCATCCAAATTCCCCACTTACTATACTTAAATAAAAACCATGACACCAATTTTGGAGTAAATGGCCAACATGCCTTTTATTAACAAACATTTTTAACACCAACCATTCCTTATAACAGAAACATACAGAGTTGTTGTTGTTGTCTTCGAAGGCACCCCACCAAAATGATATGAAATGCACCTGCGGACAACCATATTACACAAAGGCCTCCAGCCGCAACCAACCAGCTCGGAGACAACCATACCGTCCGCAGTGCAGCACCACCACCTTCCAGTTAAACCTTGGTTAACTGGAATGTCCCCGGGCACACCATACCACCGATGGGTCCCACACCATTATCTGTACCTCCCAAGATAAGAACCGCCTCCAAGACCAACAACCGCCACAGCACGCTGGGTAAGCCCTTACCCATGCGTGCCCCACCACAAACGAACAGCTACTCGGAACTCCGTCCTGCAAACCCAGAGCCCATAAATCCGTGCCAACGGCATTGAGATGAACCCCATCACTCCGCAGATACCCGCCAAGTATCAACCTCCAACTCAAAGTGCCGGACCACCAACCCCCCATTCCGAACAAAGAAGCGCCCCACCTCCCTTGTTGACCTTGATCCGAGCCTTATGGAGCCGCTCCACCGACCGCGCCAAACGCCAAGAGGTGCGGGCTACCATGTCCGACCACACCAACACCATTTCGGGATAATCCCGACGCAATTGAAGAAAATCCAGCTTAACATCCCGCACCAGCTCCCGCATGGGACCGAACCCCCAGATCGTTACCACACCGCATGAAGCACCAAAACATCCGGCGGTCTATCCAGGCATGCAAAACGCCGCACCTCAGGTACCACACGACCCCACAACATCCCCGGCACACCTATCCATCGGACACAAGCCGCTTGCCTAGCCAATCCCAGCTGCCGGCCATTAGGCCGCACATCCGCCCGCCGAGCCCCCCAAAAAACGTAGGAGTGCCCAGGATCCAGACCAGCAAACTGCTCCATCTGAAATAAAAGAACAAAAACTACCACAAGAACCAACAACATCACAGAGACAGGACAAACTCCCCCAGCAACCAAAAGAACCCGGAAACCACCCTTAGTCCCCCAGCAGATCGGGCGAACGTACAGGCGAAATCTCTGCGAATCCACACCTACCAATCCGTTTTATACCAGCCTCATCCGACAAACCCCACCGGAGCGGCCTCAGTAGCAGCCCCAATCCGAAACGAGTGCGAAGCATACAAAGACGCATCCAAACCAACATCCCGTAAACATTTCCGAAAAACCTACACAAATTGAAAACGAGTTAAACGGGGACCCATCAGCATGCATCAAAAAGGACCCCTGCCCCACCGGACGCCGGGACAAAAAAATTCTCGAACCGCATGCACCGGGCACACTAGTGATCCTCGGAAGGGCAAGAAACCGAACCCGCGCACCCACGACCCCATCGGTCCGTCTTAGACCGACGGAGATGAACACCTTCCACCCAGTCGCCCAGCACACAAACATCATCCACCAACAACCCCCCAAGCACTGATTTGGATGGACTAACAAGCTCCCCAATACGCAACGCCCCAAAGAAGGCCACCGCAAAAGCCGCCCTAAACAAGCCCACTTCAAAGTCCGAAGAACAAACAAACCGCAAATGTGTAAATAAAGATCCTAACAACTCGAAGGACACCGGCGCGACGAGAATCCCTACTGCGATGAGCCCTACGTAAAACCCCGAATAGCCTGACGCACCCAGAAATCTTTGGTAAAATCCCGACACCCTTGTAACTTAAAAAAGAAGGCGAAACCAGCCAACCGCCGATCCACCGCCGCAGCAGACACCCCCCGCTCCAAATTCCTCGCCAAATAGTACAGGCAATGCCACACGCACCTCCGGCCCACCAGGGATCAATATCGACCTGTTGTAACAGGTCCCAGCCACTCCCGCCAAACCGACGAGTCCGCAGACCATGTCGCCTCACTCCAATCCGACCGCCGGATCCAGCCGGATACGACCCCAAGGGCAATCTCCCACAGCCAGTCGGGACAAGGAACCCCACGGTGCTCCGCAGCCGGCGCCAACTCCCGGAATTTGTCCCACTGAAAACGAGACAAAGCGTCAGCCAAAGTGTTGTCCACCCCAGGGAGATGCACCGCATGGATAAAAAACATTCAGCTGCAGGCAACGCAACACTAAATGGCGAAAGCAGCCAACCACCGGCCGCGAGGCAGCCGACACACCACGGTTGATGACCTGAACCACCCCCCCAAATTGTCGCAATGAAAACGAACCTTCATGATTCCGAAAATCTGCACCCCAAACCTCAACCGCCAAGACCACTGGAAAAAGTTCCAACAGAACCAGGAAACCCGCCGCCAACCCAGGAAGGAGGCCACGGAGCCGCACTCCACCGTCCCTGAAAAAAAGCCCCCATAACCCCCCGAAGCCGCCGCATCCGTGAACAAGTCCAAGTCAAAATTGCTGACCCGGGCCCAGACATCCACAAAGCCCGTCCGTTAAACGAAGTCAGGGGGGTGTGGGGGTAAAAAGTGTGCCAAATCCGCAAATCCTCCCGATGCTCCCCTAGTCAATAAACGAATAAAATGTAAAGGGGAAGCAATCCCTGCCGTCGCCCACCGCTGCCTCCCTCCCTCCCGTTCCCTGGCCCTAGCCGCCAACCGCCGATCGCGGCAAAAACACCCGACCCATTGGCAGGATGCGACAAGCGAAGTTCAGTTTACCCAACAACGACTGTAAGGGCCCGCAGTTGAATTTTTCGCTTGCCGAGCACCCCACCAATTTCCCCTTGACAGGGCCAAAAGCTTGTCCTCAGGCAGCGGCACTCCATTGCATCAGAGTCCAAAACGATACCCAGAAAGTAATGACCGAAGCCGGCCCTCCGTCTTGTCCAAAGCCAGCGAATCCCAAAACGTTCAGCAACGTGCTGCAAAGTGGCCCAGCAAAACGGCGCACACTCTGGAAGCTGGCGGACCCGACGCAAAGAAAAAATCATCCAAAATAGTGACATGACAGAATTTGACCCCCGGAAACATCCCGCACCCCCCCACTCCACGAACGAACTGAACTGCTCAAACAAAGCGCAAGATATGGAGCACCCCATGGGAAGGCACCTATCAACGTAAAACGAGCCCTCCCAATGACAACCCAAGAAACGAAAACTGTCCGGGATTGTACCAGGCAACAATCGAAACGAAAAGCGACTCAAACATCCGATTTCGCCATAAGCGAACCACGCCCATAACGATTACACGAACCCAGAAAACCGCCCGCGTCAAACGACGTGTAAGACACTGAACAGGACTGCGGATCGATAGCGTCATTCATCGACCCCCCTTTAGGAAAAGACAGGTGATGAATTAACCGAAACGAATTCGGCTCTTTCTTGGGCACCACCC